TGCCAGTCGCTGGCGCCGCTTGTTGAAACTAAAACGAAAAAAAAAAACTCTTTTGGGATTATCATTGGCTTCTTTGTCACCCCACCACTATTCCTAACAACAAAGGTCGCCATTTCGTTTGTTTATTGCTCGCCAAAAACTATCAAATGCACTCAAAAGCCTAAAATCGAAAAAACGTTTACAGGAATCGACCAATCGAGCGAGCGAGCGAGTGCCATTCCCCACATCGCATTTACAACTCGCTCTTGCGCATGCGCGCAATTCACGAGTTGAAAATGAAATTCTATTAAATATGAATAAACAGCATGTCACACTGCTTATTTTGTTAGACTTGAGTGCGGCATTTGACACTACTGACCATTGTATTTTACCGGAGAGACTTAAATCTGGGTTTGGGATTCGTGGTACAGCACTGTCATGGTTTGCATCTTATCTAAGTAACAGATCCCAGCAAATACTTATTGATGGTTCCCTCTCTATGAACTTTGAACTGACTTCTGGTGTCCCTCAGGGTTCATGCCTTGGCCCATTATTGGTTGTATTGTATGCGAGCAAGATTTTTCAAATCGTGGACAAACATCTGCCTGGCATTCATTGTTATGCAGAAGACAACCAACTTTATTTGTTCTCATGTCCCAATGCTAGTGTTAACTACGAGGTTGCTTTGGCTAGAATGGAAAGCTGTATTGATGATATTCGTAATTGGATGTTGAATGATAAACTGAAACTGAACGACGACAAGACTGAGTTTCTGATCATTGGTACATCCCAGCAACTCGCTAAAGTAACTATTTCCAGTCTCCGTCTTGGCAACTCAGCAATTACTCCCGTGTCATCTGCGAGGAACTTAGGCTCATGGTTCGATGCAAAACTCACAATGGCGACTCACATAACAAGAACATGCAACTCTGCCTCTTACTACTTGTACAATCTGAGGAGGATAAGAAAGTACCTGTCTAAAGAGAACATAAAAACTCTGGTCCATGCCTTTATCTCAAGCAGAATTGACTATTGCAATAGTATATTGTATGGTGCCCCGGTATATCAAATTAACAAATTGCAACGTGTTCAACACATGTGCTAGATTAATATGCAATGAAAGTAAATATTGTCACCTTACTCCTTTATTGATGGAGTTGCACTAGTTACCTATTGAGTTAAGAATCGAGTTTAAGATCATATTAATTGTTTTCAAGATTTTTAAGGGTTTAGCACCGTCTTATCTAAGTTCTTTAATTACACGCAAGCCCGAGTCAAGATATAATTTAAGGAATTCTAGTGATAAGACCTTACTCAGTTATCCTAGTTTTAAGTCTAAGGCAACAATTGGTGATCGGGCATTTATATTTGCGGCACCTAAGCTATGGAATAATTTACCAAGGGATATAAGAGAATCTAGTTATATATCTTATTTATTATGAATCGCATTTAATTGTTATTTTGTATTCCAATTATCATTATTATTATTATTTTTATTTTATCTTTAAGTTATTGTAATTAGTATATTGCGGCGCATTTGAATATATATAAATAGAATTTGCGCCTTGGAAGTCAATAAATTATTATTATTATTATTATTATTATTATTATTATTATTATAAGTATGGTTTCACAGTCTCAGCTGTTGTCCTGGCAGTCGCAATAACGATTGGAGTGAATATGAGCGTACTCACAAGAGGTCTGAAGTCTGTTGCCAAAGGAGTTGGGGAAGGGCTCAAGACTCTTGCAGGTAAGATCGCAGGAATTCTCCCAGGTCTCATCGGTTCAATAGTCGGCTTCATTTTCAAGACTGCTGGATCAGTGATCAGCTTCCTCGGACAAAATGCATGGCCTCTGAAATTGGGAGTCGCCATATTCATGGTTGAGCGCTTTCAGAAGAACAAGCGATGAACCAAGAAGGCCGAGACCAGTCCAGCTGAAATCAATCCGACCTTTACCATATCATGCTTTGTCTCACTGTCGCTAGAAGAGCTTCGCTTTTCACCTGTTGATGATTTTGTCTTCACCTGAATTTCAGTTGAAGTCGCATTACTTTAATTGAAGGGTGACCGCCTCGCGGATGGGCTGAAGGCTTGATTTTTGATGAGCCCCCATTCTTGTGCCTTACTCCGACTGATTTCATCTCCAAATTCGCTGATTTGTTGACTCCGAGCTTTGTTTCAACAGTTGCCTTCATCAGGCTGTTGTTATACCCGACCGTACTCTGTCTGTTAAGAAGATTTGAGGGCATAAGCCAAGTGCCTGGTAAGACTGCCAGATCAAGTCAGACTTTTGCCTCATCAATCGCAAGCTGAAACCTCTGAACGCTCTTCGAAATGTTTGGCTTTCTGTTCGCATCCTCAACCACGAGATATTCCGCAACCTGTCGTTGCGCACCATACTGCGAAGTTGAGCCGTTGAGGCCAATAGCTCGTATTTGGCATCACGAGCCATCTCTGATTCTGCGCCTGAAGAAAGCTGAATTTTCGTTCATGTGAATATTCCTCTGAAATTTGCATTGAAGTATTAATTTGGGCTAGCAAAGATCCCAATCTCCTCATGCAAACGACTATTTGCATTCTCATGAAATGAAACTGCTGGGATCTCCTTCTTTCCTATTCGATTCAGAGTGAGTTCGAGGGGAACACCTACAATTCCAAGAGCCTTCTTCATGCCATCATCTAAAGATCTTGTCTAGAAAGCCAAGTTTTCGTTAAAAAATCTGAGCGATTAACATGATGAGTCTTTACGGTGTTGTTGTCACACGATAACTCGTTCGCGTCTGAAGCGGATGTAGTCATTGGCGATGTTTACTTTACTTTATTCGCCTTGAGATCCTTATAAACTTTGTTGCAAATAAAAAGAATTGCTTTTTACTAAAGATCTTGGAAAAATTTCCGCACAGCCCCATACTTAATTATGCATGTACATCTTACTGGTGATACACTGAATAATAAAGCCCCATATATGGATGTATAATGATGTATGGGGCTGTGCGGAAATTTTGCCAAGATCTTATCTAGAAAGCCAAGTTTTCTTAAAAAATCTGACCGATTGTCATGATGAGTCTTTACAGTGTTGTTGTCACACAATAACTCGTTCGCGTTTGAAGCTGTTTGAGTCATTGGTGATGTTTATTTCCCTTTTTTCGCCTTGAGATCCTTATAACCTTTGTTGAAATAAAAAGAAATGCTTTTTACTAAAGATCTTGTCTAGAAAGCCAAGTTTTCGTTAAAAAATCTGAGCGATTGACATGATGAGTCTTATACGGTGTTGTTGTCGCACAATAACTCGTTCGCGTCTTAAGCTGTTATAGTCATTGGTGATGTTCACCAATGTTGGCCAATGTTTAAGCTTCTGTCAGATGTTCGCCAATGTTCGCCAGTGTTTTTAACTCGTGAATTGCGCGCATGCGCAAGAGCGAGTTATAGATACGATGTGGGGAATGGCATTCGCTCGCTCGATTGGTCGATTCCTGTAAACTTTTTTTAGATTTTAGGCTTTTGAGTGCATTTGATAGTTTTTTGCAAGCAATAAACAGACGAAATGGCGACCTTTGTTGCTAAGAATAGTGGTTTGGTGAAAAAGAAGCCAATGATAATCTTAAAATAGTTTTTTTTTTCGTTTTAGTTTCAACAAGCGGCGCCAGCGACTGGCAGGCATGCAAGGATTCACACTGAAATAACAGAACAACATTCGTTTTTCATAAAATTGTAATTTACAATCCTTGAACTTGAAAACAATCCGAAGATTCATTGAAAATATCACTTACTGCGAAGAGCTCGGAGTTTACAGATGTTCAAAAGCTTTTTCTGTTATGGCGTGAGATTGCGGACAAAATCGATCATTACGTTTCGTGACGTGTGTTTTTCCTGTGTGAAGCAACAGAAGATGCCGGCGACTGACGAAATAACAAGTTAACACGAAAATTAAATAACACCTAAACAAATAATTTTAGCTACCGATTTTCAGTGAATTTTTAAAGAACAATTTTCTTTTAGGTTTCAAGACAATTTGAAGATTCAACCTACATACAACGTACTAAAATGCGAAAGTTACACACCACAAAATTGATAAATAGGCCTGAAATGAAATTCTATCTTGTTATTGATTATACGTTGCCTAGCACGTGACTTAAATCTACCCAGGCGGAGATCCAAAATGACGGTGGCAGGCTTGGCTTAGTTATATCACTCAAAACTCGTTCCCGTTTGTCTCGTTTGATAAAGAGGGAATCGTTAATTTTTTCATTAAGACAGTATTGCCTTGATTTTCTAATATTTACAACGAAAGACAGTAAATTTCACTTTTCACCCACATTTACTCCCAATCTTTTCTTTTGAACCAGAAACAAAAATGATAGACGTTTAAAACACGACATCATCCACCTTGTCAAATGTAATAGCATGATCATTTCAATTGTAATGCCTTCTTATCCCAACGTTACTTTGTTTCTTTGCTACATTAGCGAACACTGAACTACTGCTCGTACTCTAGATATGACAATCAACCAAAAAATTCCCTAAACCAGACAACATTAAACATAATCTAAAAAATCATGTGTCAATTCACGAGTTTGCTCACAGAGCACTTTGATTTTACTAAATATCGTTTACTTTTCTGTATGTTTAACTTCTAATAAGTTGTATTGGATTGACGACCAACTCGCCGACGTCTCTACTCGATTTTAAACGTCGGCGAGTTGGCCCGTCGGCGAGTTGACTGGTTACCGCAGAAACGATGGGTCGACTTGGGTTGTTAGGTTCGTGGATTTTAGGTAAAAAGTAAATACACGAAGTTCTACGAGTGGTGATGGTGAGATTTTTTCGCAGTGGTCAGCAACTCTTGTTTAGCTATAACATCGATAATCGTGCTTTTGACAATGTTTTGGTTAATGAAGGTGAGATCTTGTCAACTTTTGCATAAAAGGAGGTGTCAGAAAGTTGCTGCAAGGCATCTTTTTGGTAGAGGTCGACTCACCAAAAAACGACTGCGCCGCCTTTATCGGCCGCTTTAAATACTGTGTCTTTGCGTTTTCCTAGGCCCGGTTCAAAATTCGCATTACATACGTGCCGAATATAACTCTTATTTCAATCGCAGATTATAAGTAGGTGGAATTTAATTCGAAACTGTCGAATTTAATTGATTTAAACGTCGAATTTAATTGATTTAAACGTCGAATTTCACATATGCATGCAGTTAATTCTTGAGTTATATTCGGCACATGTGAAGTGCGACGTTTGAACCGAATTTAGTGCCGACCACTTTTCCGAAGAAAGTTTGGAAAATTTGGTGTTACGATTGAATTTAAGTTTGTTGATATCGTGGCGACATTTTTTGATGAAAAAAACATAAAGATGCGTAGTGGCCCTCTAGGGGAGTTCATTTCGAATCTGAAGTGTTTCGAAAGTAAAAAGAGAATCATTCAATTCATTCATTCGAGATATTCACACCCTCTTCAGAACTCATGAGTGAGACATTGTGAATATTATTTACCTGCGAAAGAATCCCGTCACGAAAGAGAAACGAACCGAAGCTATTTATTCTATTCCGTGCAATGACTTTGATCACGAGTACATCGGACTAACCAATTGTCAGTTTGGTGCACGTTTGGAAGAGCATCAAAAAGCGATCTTCTTTTGCAAAGAAGAAAATTCAGCTCTGTCGGAGCACACATGCCCAACCAACCGTACAATTGGGTGGGATAAGTCTAAACTAATTACCACTACTTGACGTTACCACCAGCGCCTTTGTCTGGAAGACAAAGGACCGCTTGTTGCAGCGACTAGATCACCCCTGATGAAGGCACTAGACAGGAGTTTCAAAAAGTTGGGTCTATGAATTGTAACTTCTCGGTTACATTCATTTAATCTTTGAACCAGAGTAGCATCAAATAGTTCTCGTGGCATCAACCTGGTTGTCATGAGAACTTTCACTTGTCCATATATTGTTACTGGACATTAATGAAAAGCTAAAAACATCGCCAATTGGTTTGTAGTTAACTTCTTTAAATAAATAGAAATGTCGACATAAAAAGAAGAGGAAAACACATCGAAAAGACGAAATGTCACCATTAACCCTTTAACCTTAGAGTCACGTTTATCTAATTTCGCCTGACAACATCACCCCTGAATCAAAAACTAAAGTCACGAGAACAAAGAAAATTACCAGCAGCTAAAAGAGCTGTTGATTGTTGCACAAATTCTCCTTGTTAGCACCTTAGGAAATGTATAGAGAACAGTATGGAGAATACCTTTTCTGATGTAAGAGTGTAAAGGGTTAATGTCACAGCGCACCGATATTAAAAGGACAGTATGAGAAACTGAGCTCTGACTCGCATATGCGTCAACATTTTGCGATCCGCGTACTCGCTTCCAAATTTGTCCCTTGGGGTTATACACAATCATCCGTTATAAAATGGTGTCTTTGGTTGCCAAGAGCAAGCTACTTATCTATCCCCAAATATCGAATATTGAGGTGACTCTGCACCAAACAACCGATACTACTACAAACAAGTTAAAATACGGTTAACTTACCCGGACGGTAAAGATTTCATCAACTCGTCTACGACAGCTATTACTCGATCCTTCTTTGCAACTTTATTAGTATGCGTCCATTCGTTAGTCAAGGCTGCCTTAGTCATTACCGAATCGTCTTGCGGGTACACGTTTGACTCACGTTGCAACCAAACACTTTGGTACTTCACTAGTTTCTCACGCACCAGAAAGCTCGGGCTATAAGAACAGGTCGGCAAAACGCCACTTAATTGAGCGCGGTCAATGAGAGGAAGACGATGAAAGTAAAACAACTTCCTTTTGTTTTCGAGTATCAAGCTATTTTGTTTACCCGCGTGTGGGGGAATATCATCAAAGCTATGTTCAACAAAGCTCGTCAAGTAATCCGAGGTTATAATTTCAAACTTTGAATTACGAGACCAATACACAGCCAAATGAACTGCCCCAGCTTCCTGTTTAAGTAAAGACTCAATGTAATATTTTTTACCGGTGTGAAGGGTGACCTCCTTAGATATTTGCTCCGCATACTTTTTGTAGTCTCCATCTGAAGTCCAAGCAGATTCTGTGGGAGAATAAACACGAGCAATCAACTTACTTGAAGCAGGGTCCTCATTTGCACTCAACCATAATTCAGAAGTGTCATCGGATGATATGGCAAACTTGTACACGCCGCTTTCCCTCGGATGGACGAATCCAAAGAATCTATATCCGGTGGATTGTGAAGCGGGATTTTCAGTAAAATGAAATGCAGATACAAATAAGCGCCTGTGTGGGTGATAAGGAAAATGAGGCCACTTTCGTAAAATATCGACTTTCGTGCCGCATACTCCAGACCAAATATGAAGATTCAGAGAGCCAATAGTCGAAGGGACATATCCACTATTCTGTTCCCGTGTAAACGTTGACAATGCATTTTGTTCGTCCGCTATAGGTTTTTCAACGTTCGCTTTCGGTTCTAATTGTTGACTTCTCGCACATGGACAATTGCACGGTGTAGTAGTAACACCCCGTTGAAAACCTCCATTTTTAGAGGAAAACAATAGCAGCAAACAGCCTGTGAAAGGAATACTAATGACCCCGACAATGAAGATAAGCCGTCGCCGACCTAAAATCCCTCTTCCAAAGAAGCTGACGCCATTACGCCACATGTTGCAATACGTCTCGCACACTACACGAATTCGACTTCGTCCGCTCACTTTATTATGCGTGAGCTACATAGCACCTCCAAATGCCATCGTGCTGCTAAGTTTCAAAGGATAAAAGCGGCGTTTGTCGAGCCATTTATATTATTGTTTCACAGCAACGAGGCGATGAATCAGGTCACGCGCTGTTAAGACCACAATTTTACTTGCTTCAATCATTAACATGTTTCCCTGGTTACCTTTCTCTTCGCGTCGCGTCACTTTTTCAAACCTCTAAACAGGGTAATGACATTAGTATTTAGTTTATTGGACCATAGAATCATTGGTGTCATTATTTCCTTTCCTCTTTTTTCCTCATTACCGTCTAAAATTACCAGAAGGTTAGCGAACACTTTCGATTTCCATCGTAACGGTGATGCCACAGGCATCTCACGTCACGTCTCGTTACTACATCACGGTCGACGAGCAGTTCCTCGTCGGAAAGCAATATATATCATCGTCCTAAAACCAGATGAGCCCACGACATATCAGCGGCATCTTGTATGAGTATGATAGGTACTTCATGTATGGGCACATATTATGTCCTCAATACATATTATGTCCTATACCTTACATACAATACCCTACACACATACAGGGCTAAACAAGGCTAGATACAGCTATACACAGTTCTATAGGGCTATACACAGCTATTATTATTAGTATTAGGCCACAGAGAAATTACTAAGTAAATACAGCTTTGTGTCAAAACTGAGTGATTACCTAGATTTTGTACGACTATTTTTGTTCTTTTGTATCTTGTTATTATAACAAAAGATTCACGGTGCGCATTTCATGTTTATGTTGGAAAAGGTGTAACTAATCGTATGCGAACTCGTTCATATTGGATTGCTGCAGGATAAGTACAACTTGTTACATGTTTAATTGACCACAATAGTTTTTTTAAATTACTCGTATACCAATGATAGCTCTGCATTCCCTCATTGACGGCATTCTCTCTTTCACCCTTTGTAAAAGTGTGTTATCAAAGAAATAAACACGTGATAAAGGCAATTTGTGAAATTCGAAAGAACAGGTACGTAGTTTCACAAACTTTATTTCTCACGGCCTTAGTAGACTAAGCAACTGCTTTAATTTAAAAACACCAATCTGTGAAACGAGCCCCTTTCAGGCCTCCTACTT